ATATATATATATATATATATATATATATATATATATCTATATTTTAGCTCTTTTCAGCTCCTTCCACTTCTTTCTGGTAGTTTAAGCTTCCTTCTGCCTTTTCAGCTCATTTCAGCTTTTTTTAGGCAATTTCCTAACATTTTTTGCTCATTTCTGCTTATTTAAACCTAATTCAACAAACGTGTTCTTTCTGCTTTCTTCTGTTAACTTCAGCTTTTTCTTCCATTTCAGCTACATTTCAGCATGTTTTTCTAATTTCAGCTGCTTTTTAGCACGTTCTTCAGCAATAAACATTCACTCTGCATTTTCACAAGAAATGCACTTTCTCTAGTTTAAGTTGTTATTGTGTAAACGGGTTAGGGAACATTTGAAAACAAAATGTTCAGTAGCAATATTATTCACAAACAGCCAACTCTGATGCCATTCGTGCTACATATGAGACTCACTGTATAGCTAAAGCTCCAACATGGGCGCACATGTTGCGTGAATATTTATTTTCCAGGCACGTTTCTCTTAAAGAGCCATGACCTGAGCCTGGTGGTGCGTTTAATGAGATTAGCGACTGGGCAGACCCAGACAGATAAACACAAACACACGCCGACATAACTGTGCTTCTGCGTGCGACGGATGTTTCAGATAAACCGGTCATTAATCACGTTCACACAGTTTTCTATCAGCAGAGCTCCAGAGGCGTCCAATGCAGAGAGGTGAACAGTCTGGACCACAGGCTCCACCATCCATAATGTCAGCATGAACTCCGTGTTTGCATGTGAGCTTCGGACTCATAACTACTGTCCTCGTTAGAGCTGCGTGGAACAGTTTTATCGACCCCCAAGGCATCCCTGAGAGAACTGCAGCTGCATCAGGCCCGAGATGTGGTCCAGTTAATGAGGTCTACGTCTGATATGATGGATAACCTTGCTGTGTGACTGATAACATACTTAGCATCGAGTTCATAAAGTTGTGATTAACTCCTATAAGATAAAAATCTGTATAATGAGGCCTTCTAATGTGCTTTAGATGGTAATCAATCAATTCCTCAACAGAAAAGTTGTATATTTATTCACTAATGGGTTTTAATGTACCGTAACTTTCAAAAAGCAATATTTACACTTACATCCACGAGTTATCAACTTTGAGTCAGGCAAGTTCAACATGGCTGCTACAGCTAACTCACATTAACCAACATAAAAATGGCAACAATTCAGACAGTTTAAAGATACTGAACTAAATATAGTGTGGTAGTAGCTGTGAGTCATTCACAACACACAAGAGTATGATATCTTGCAACATCACGTGCATAATGTTATTATTACGATTTAAACACCGTGTCTACAAAACCATCATTTATCAACATAAGATGATTTTAGTGTAAAACTCTGGCATGGTGGGCGATGTGCTTCCTTCAAGGGACGCTGGACCTACATCTCTCACATTATTTGATATTCAGCTGCAGCTCTCTGTAAGAGAAGAAACTTGCTAAGTCTGCAGTACCACTATTTTCTCCTCTGTGGTCCACACTGTTCTCACACACCTAGAGCAGAAGGACTCCTATGTCCGTATGCTCTTTGTGGACTTCACATGTGCCTTCAACAACATGATCCTCCAGACCCTGATGAACAAACTACTCACACTAGGACTAAGCCACTCCCTATGCAACTGGGTCCTGGACTTCTTAACAGACCGCAGTCTGTGAGGATCCATAACTTCTCCTCCTCCACCATAACCCTCAGCACTGGCTCTCCTCAGGGCTGTGTGTTGAGCCCCCTCCTATTCACTCTGCTCACGTATGACTGTGCAGCTACCCATCCAGGCTGTCACACTGTAAAGTTTGCAGATGATACAGCGGTGGTGGGATGCATCACAAACAACGATGAGTCCAGCTACAGGCAGGAGGTGGAACACCTGGAGAGCTGGTGCAGGAACAACAACCTTCACATTAATGTGAAGAAGACGAAGGAGATGGTTGCATACTTCAGACGGAACAAACGCACCTGCCCCGCCCCTGAACATAAGAGGATCTGCGGTGGAAGTGGTCTCCAGTTACAAGTACTTGGGTGTACACAAGAATGACAACCTCAGCTGGGACAACACCACCAGCCTGATCAAGAACGCTCATCAGAGACTCTACTTCCTCAGGCGGCTGAGACGAGCTGGTCTGGGAAGCTCAGTCCTCACCTCCTTCTACAGGTGTGCAGTGGACAGTGTGGGTTTTCTCCAGGTGCTCCAGTTTCCTCCCACAGACCAAAAACATGCATGTTAGGCTGATTGGTAACTCTAAATTGTCCCTAGGTGTGAGTGAGAGTTTGTCTCTGTGTGTCCCTGTGATGGACTGAGACCTGTCCAGGCTGTCCCCCGCCCCTCGCACAGTGATTGCTGGACATGGGCACCAGCGACCCCCGTGACCCAAAATGGAATAAGCGGGTAAAGAAAATGGATGGATGAAAAAATATTTTTTTTTTATGTTGTCTGAACAGTAAATGTTAGGTAGGGGCCAAAACAAACAGAATCTGATGAACCACTTGAACACATCACTTTTCCAAGCTTCTGTGCTGCTGTGTGGGAGGAAATGCAGCGAGGATACAAATAATGTGAAATCAAATCCAGCAGCTGAGTGAGGTTTAGTCCACATATGACCAAATCATCAGTCTCTTGTTTCTAACTGCTGTGCTGAAAAGCAAAAGTCAACACGACTTCAGACTTTACATAAAGCCAATACTGCCCTCTGCTGAACACGGGGAACATTTCTTTTTCTGTGTATTAGGGATTCAGGGTCAAGTTTATGATGCAAAAATACCATCTCATCCTGTTGTTTTCCCTAGAATTAATTTAAAACTTGTTTAAAACATGTAAGGTTCAGGAATGATGGCCAACAAAAATGTGTAAGTAATTCTGAAAAGAGAAAAGTGCTGCAACAAGAATGTGACTACAAAAACACAAAATTAAGAAGTTATGTTAACATTTATTTTCTGATTTATATCTTTTTTCATAAGTTTGTTGATATGTGACCAAAGAGAAGAGCTCCGGCCTCCTGAGTGGGAAATCAGTTCAGTAAAATATGTTGCTTTTGCTTTTCTTAGACAACTAACCACTTTATTTCTAATATGAGAATGTCCGTGTTCAGATTAGTACTCAAGAGATTATTTCAATGTTAAGTCTCTCTTTTTCATCAGCTGATGTAACTCACTATTAATCCATGGCAGTGAAGGCTTTTTCTGCTTACTTTTAATTGGCTTTGTAAATTTATGAATTATCTTTACAAGCGATTCTGTAAGAATGTTACAACAGGTATTGGGGTCATGTGCTTGTAAAGTCAGATCCCAGTCCACATCCTGTATTTCACTGTCATCTTGCTCAATCTCACTCCTTCTGATCCCTGTGTGCTGGAAAACCAGGTCCGATCCAAAACAAAACCTCGATAGATGTTTTTTTTTGACAAATTTTAACTTTATTTTAGCCGTTTTTATATAAAAGTCCAACCAAGGACTGGGTTTGCAAATTAGCCCGTGGCTAGAAAACCTTTGTACAAAGCAACGGTTGCTTCGTTTTTAACATGTAACATTGTTTAATGTGCTGTCCTTGTTCAAATAAACTTGAATGAATGAATGATGTGGGTTGTAGAACTAAAAACATTTTAAATAATTTGACTAACGTGTTGTTGTCAAGTATAAATAAGGGCTGGTGTTTTATAAAATGTAAAAAGGGCTAAAGAAAAAATAAAATGATGTGACAGGAGGCTTACCATAGATGTTCACACTCAGTCCTGACCTCAAATTTATTGACATGAACAAACTTTAATAATAATTAAGTGATAGAATATTCTTCATCCTTTAAAATAAAGGAGATAATAAAAGGAAGCTGATCTTCTTTAGAAAGCAACCAGCTCTTATAATGGCTAAAAATTCCTACCAGAGCCTTTCTCTTTGTTTAGGCTTTGTTTAAAACCAGTTATGGTTTGACCAGACCCCCCAGTTTCTTCCTTTACTTCTTCAGTGATGGGCATTAAAATAAAATGGGCAAGGCGTCCCATCCCTCTGCTGGGGCTCACGTTTGTCTTTAAACTGGATGTTTTAAAACACAAAAACATCATGTTTCTAACTTTAAAACTGTAAGTCTGCTAAACCAAAACCAGGGTGGGGTGTGTTCAAATCTAGTCATGAGATTTATCCACAAATATGTCATTTTGGAGTTGAAAAAACCCTTTATATATAATAATATAAAGATGTCTGGAATAAGAAGGTTTACTGCTGTACCAGAGTTGAGGGGCTTCTTGTTGGAGAGCAGAGCTTCAGGGTGAGGCAGACTGTAAATGGTGACCACACCACTGGAGGCAGCTACAGCCAGAAGACCCAGCCTGGGCAAGAAGGGAGTCTAAAGAGAATGGGACAAATTAAACCTTTCATGGTTTAATACTAGACCGTGGCAGAAATGGTGTCAAACATAAACCAAGCACTTTAAAAATATGATACCTTCCTGCCACAGCTAGGAGACTCCCAGCCTCCTGCCGGACACCACTTCATCTGCCAGATGAAGCCTTTGTCCTGGGCCAAACCATAAACCAGGACTGGCTGGGAGTCTGGTCTGCAGAGACAGGAGTGGAGGGACGACAATAAAACAGAAGAGAGGAACAAGGGTTAACTATCAAACCAGATGATGACCAGCCTGTTCTGCCTCAACTACTCTAATGTGGATTTGACTTCTTAAAACATGTCAAACTCTAGACACCATTTACTGTTTCATTCTAAAAGTGTTTGTGATGTTACATTTATTTTTAGATTATTGATCTTAAAATAAAAAAAAAACAAGTAGAGCTCATTTTTTGCACTAGAAACTCAGTCAAGTGCATTGAACACATTTTTGACATCACACAAAGGTAGAAAAAGGCTAGCTAAATGTCTAAAAGGGTAATTAGAAGCTAAAAATTAATTTATTTTATTTAACCTTTATTTATACAGGTTGTCTCATGGAGTCATGATGACTCATTTTGAAGAGAGACCTGTTTGGGAGCAGATGGTGGGGGTTAAGAGCCTTGCTCAAGGGTCCAAAGTGGGGCAAATGAGAGTGGAGGCAGGTGTGGCTGTTTCACCATTTCTACCCACATTTTAATGTTGGTCCAGAGAGTCAAACCGGCAACCTTCCAATCACAGGTCCATCGTCTCTAACCTCTGTGCCACCATTCCTCTAAAGCATAGCAAAAGGCTTTCAAAAAGCCAAGAGTAGCAAAAGGCTAGCTAGAAGCTAAACGTAGGCAAAACCTGGTTAAACGTTGCAAAAGGATATCTATAAGTTAAAAGAAGCAAAAGAAGCTAAAATTAGCAAATGACTGGCTTAAAGCCAGAAGTAGCAAAGCAAAAGGCTGTCTATAAACTACATGTAGTAAAAGGCTGGTTAAAAGCCAAAAGTAGTAAAAGGCTAGTTAGAAGCTAAACATAGGCAAAACCTGGTTAAACGTTGCAAAAGAATAGTTATAAGTTAAAACAAGCAAAAGAAGACAAAAGTAGCAAAAGGCTGCCTAAAAGCTAAATGTAACAAGAGGCTGCCTAAAAGCTAAATGTAGCAAAAGGCTGCCTAAAAGCTAATGTGGTAAAAGGCTGGTTAACTGCTAAAAGTAGCACAAGGCTAGCTAGAAACTAAACGTAGGCAAAAACTGGTTAAACATAGCAAAAGGATA